GTGGTGAGTGTCATTAAAATTCACAATTTAAACATAAAAAAGAATAACATATCTAAATTTCAATAATTAATAATATGAGTTCAAGCATTTTTTTTTATCAGCAACAAGAACCTTTAGTGAAATGGAGGTTTTTTTCAACTTGGGTTTTGCTTATCAAAACTCTTTAAAATTTCTTCAGTGAAAGAGAGACCCAAGCTGATGAGTGATAGAGAAGGCTATCTTAGAGGAGAGAGAGCCTGCCTGTACATGCAAAAACCTCTATTTTAGTGTTTCCAATGTGTGAACCCACAAAAGTCTCTCTAAAAAACTCTATTTTGATTTCTGGATTTGTTTATTTTCATTTCTTTGATCTTTGTTAACCTCTATGTGTGTGTGTGTATAAACTAATAATAAGAGGGAGATTTAAAAAATGTATAGTTGATTCTTGCTTTCATTGAAACAAACCCTAAAATGACATTACCCTTTCTCAAATCATTGATATCTAGCCTAGTACAAACACTATCAGAAAAGGTAGAAAGAATGGCAATAGAAAGAGAAGGCAAGGGGAAAACATGGAAAAAGAAACCAATAGAGGCAACAACAACAAAGAGTGAAAAAAAATGACGCTAATAGGGGAAAATAAAGGTACGCAAAGGGCTCTTACCTCCGACGATGGTGTTTCAGTGCGACAATGGTGCTTCGAACGACCTCTGACGTATGCTACAATGAGACTCTTCGTCTCCAACAGCAAGCTTTCTTCAGAAGTTAGAGATAAAAATAAAAAAATAAATAAAAAATAAAAAACAAATCAATTAGGGAAAATAGGTAAAAGAAGAGGCAACGATGTCGTTTAATTAATTAATTGAAGGGAATCCGCTATTTTTTTAACAACTATTGGTCATGGTTACTTGATTCGGGTTTGGTGGAGTGGTGGTGGCTGCATGTTGCGCCCTTCCAGGAGGTTTATTTTAACTGATTCACATGGGTTTGATCATGTTGCTTGGTGGTGGCTACAACTTGCGCCTTATCAAGTAACTTGCATTTGTTTTCCTAGCTGTCTTCTTTTCTTTCCGTTTTATGGTGTCATTGCTACTCTAGTTTTTTGCTCTATTTCCTACCTCTATGGGGCTATGTAGGGGGTTTATTTTCGTTTTGCTTGGGTTGGTAAGGTGTATAGGGCTACTGGTGTAGTGTTTTTGTGTTATATTTTGTTGTATTTGTTTGGGTACAAGTGTTGTTAGGTGGCTGTCCTATTTTGCTATGGATGGCTAGTGGTTGCTTTTTATTGTTGGCTACATAGAGTTGGTTTCATAGCCTTTGTCTGTGTGTTAGTTTTGTGTTTCATTTGTTTTGTCAGAAAGTAATGAATTATTCGCGGACGTCGGTAAAGAGGCTGATCAAAAAACGGTGGAGGACTTGGTGGAGGTTAAAATAGATGAGAAGAACCCGGATAAGTTCTTCTTGCTTGGCTCATCGTTGTCCAGCTCTGAGAGATTAGAGGTCTTGAAATTCTTGACCTCTAACATCGAAGTGTTTGCCTGAACGCCCTACGACATGCCAGGTATTGATCCAAACTTCATCAGTCACCAACTCAATGTCCACCCATCCGCCAGACCAATCATTTAACGCACACGCAGATCGGCACTCCACCACGCCGAAATAGTGGCAGAAGAGGTAGGCAACCTGCTAGAGGCAGGAGCAATAAGAGAAGTGCACTACCCAAGATGGATCTCCAACACAGTCGTAGTGCCAAAAAAGAATGGTAAATGGCGTGTCTGCGTCGACTACAAAACAGTCAACAAGGCGTGCCCAAAAGATAGCTTCCCTCTACCAAGGATAGATCAACTGGTAGACTTAACGGCGGGGCACAATCGACTTAGCTTTCTGGATGCATACAGAGGCTACCACCAAATCGCCATGCATAAACCGGACCTGGAGGTCACATCCTTCACAACACCAAGAGGATTATACGAGAAGGTGTATTTCTTTCCCGTACAATATATATATATAGAGAGAGAGAGAGAGAGAGAGAGAGAGAGAGAGTGTATAGATATATAATCAATAGAGGCTGCTTTCAGAACATAATTTGAAAATTTTGTATTTCAAAAGAATACTCCCATGCCGTGTTTAAACAATCACGTAAAATTTGCAGATTTACAGAAATGTTTTCACTGCCATTATATCTTCCAAGTCATGAAACCTCACCACAGATTCCAACATTATAAATGTTTGAAGAACAAAATGAGCCATATTCCCCTCCCCACTTCTCTTCCTTGGTGATGGCATTCATAGATGGGTGGTCACTAAAACAACTTTAACCAGGACCGAGTATTTTTTTTTTCTTGTGTAAGCAACTTGCTAATTAAGCAAGAAAAGAAACCTTCCACAGCCAGCACAAAAATTGGCAAGAATAACATACCACATGTATGAGGAAGTGTAATTTTTGGCTCAAAGATCTGAAAATGGATTGAATTATCTCCTCAATGATAATTTAGCAAGAACAACATATCAGCTTTTCAAACACTCTTTAAGTCATAATAACTGCCACTCCAAAAACAAACGTATGATAATTGAACATTCCCCAGGGAGAGGTTTCTTGATAATTTTTTTTTCTTTTTGAAAAAAAAAAAAAAGGAAAAAGGAAAAAGAAGAAGAAGATACAAGTTCAGCCATGTTTCCCCAACAAAAATGCGCAAAAGCTAAAATAAGAACTCTTATATGCAGGAAAGGCAAAAGATCCAATAGATGATGAGAAAGATCCCCCAGAGTTCAATTTCTGAATGCTCACCATTCAACAACTCGGGCCAATGCCATATATCACAATATAAAATGCAATCATCAGGAAGCTTTATAACTGTTTCAAAGTTGGTTGAATGCACAAGAAGTGTATGACTGTTTCAAAGTCATGCACATGAGGAAAGTTACAATCATAATATTCTACAACCATGAACATCAGTAGCCAATGAGCAGCAAAGAAATTGATTGCATATACAATTTCTGCGCCAAGGACAAAGATGAAGCAAGAACATATGGCATAAGAAAGAAATTGTAACCAAATACATCTTCAAATAGGGGAGGAAATTTAGATAGAGTAGTTTAGAAACAGAGAGAGAGAGCAGATGTCTTCTGACTACCAGGGAGGTACATTTTCTATGACAACCAACAAAAGACAGTAAGGTTCAAACTTCAGCTAGGTCCAGGGAGGCAGACACATACTACAGAGTCTATTGTCCCTTTATAGCACGAAATGAGGAGGTCCGGGATTCTGTCACAAAACTTGGGCTAAAGTATAAAAGGATTAAGGATCTCCAATACTACTAGTCGAAACAGACGAACCCCAATGAGCTACCTGGACCTACTTCTACATGCCCACATACTTCCATTATATGGTGTTTTCAGTATTTATACAAAACAAAACTGGGCCCCACACACACACACACACACACACAAAAGAAGAAAATAAAGTCAAAAAATAAAGAATTTCATTAGCTTTTACAACAAAGAATCGTACATGCTTTTACAACTTCCAACACATTATTCAATCACCTTAAGTCCAACCAACCAAATTAGGAGTCCTGTTTGGAAAGCTAAGGAAATTTCTTCACAGATGCCGCCTTTTGTGTTTGACACCTAAGCATCTAGGCAATACTGTAGGCAACCTTCAATGACCATCTAGTAATTAAAAGCCCAGTGCCCAGCTTAAAGAGTAAGGTCAGTAAGAGAGGTGCCTCCGACATGCCATATATGCTTGTTCAACTAATGTAACTGATCATGCAAATATGACAGCTGATAGCCCAAGACATAGATAAATATGGAGAATGGTACCTTTTAAATCTTAATAAGAGACTAAATAAGCCTGCCTCACCATGAAGTAGCACTAGCAAACCCCAATGCAAGCAGAACTCATTGCAGGAAGCAATTGTCAAAATGCAACTTTCCAACTCAATCAACTGCTTAAATTGCTCAATATGAAGTGTCATGTGGAAGAGGCAAACATGGTATGTGGACAACAGATGTTAAAGCACCAGTACATTCTGCACCCGATAGCCTCTGTGTCTGAGTCTCTAAATATCATATGTAGTCAGAATTTCGGACCCATCTGGAGAATCTTACCTAAAGGAGGCCGGCTGATTCAGTTTCGTGGTTAGACAGTAATTTACTAACTCAGCCAACAGCAACACTGAATTAATTGCATTCTTGTAGAGTGGCTCGATTTGGCTGTGTACCCATCATGTTTTTTTTTTAAAAAAAAAAAACTAAATTTAACATAATATGCATGTAGCATATATGAAGCTATTCAACCATCTTACTTATAGCTTATAGCAACATCTTAACTATAATGCAACATCTTAACTCACTCCATAGCTTATAGCTGATAAAGCACCATTCAAACACCAAATTGTATATCTAAGACTAAACAGAAAAACTACTTATCATGGATAGCATACTTATAATGGAGTTTTTCAAACTCCCCCATTAGACTCCTCAATTCATCAATAATATTAGAGCTAGTTATGAGCTTATACCATGTTTCATAGAGAATCAATACACAAACAAAAAGCATAGATATTCTGTTTCTCTGGTACTCGACACTAACACCCTTCAATATTTACATAATAGCATTTCATACACAGATTTGTAATGTAGAGTAGAGATGCCTCTTTAGCATGTATAATAGCTGTCTTGGGTACTTCAATAATCAAACAAGGATCCAATATCAGACAACTCTGAAGAACATACCAAGTCTTCAAACCGTATGAAATTATTGGCACCTATAATATTGTCCTAGCTACTTCACAATCAAATCATCAAGAACCAATAATAGAACACTAAACAACATAGCCTCTTTCAAATGGCATGAACTTAATAAAATCTAGAGTGAAAGCTATTGCATATCCCTCATGTTCTACTATTACAAACCAATGTTAAAAAGAGTGATTATCAAATCAAGAAGCACATTTTTTTCTCATGAATATGATACGTAAGCATCCGAAAAAAATTGCAATCACCAAGTCCAACGATGAAGATTCAAAACCACGCTCAACTGTGAAGATTCCATTTAGAAGGCAATAAACAACACACGAAATTAAATACAAAAAAATACACCGAAGATAGAAGCAGATAAATACAATTTAAAAAAATTAAGAAGGGATCAAGAAAGTTTTTTTTTTTTCTTTTTTTCTTCTCAAGTTCTATTTAGTTTCCTTCCCTAGATATATTGCGGGAACTGCCGCTAAAGCTTGACCACCTTCTGAAAGTGCCAGCCACTAAACTTCTCCCTGCAATAAGGCCTAATCTTGCCTTGAATGACGTGGATCGACCAGAACTACTCGATGCAGCATTAGCAGCCCCACCTTGGGCAGCCACTGGTGGCATTTCTAAACCATTTTCAAGTGCACCATTATCACTAGCACTCGCATCCTGATGTTCAGGTTCACCGGTATCCAAATTGACAGCCAGTGATCCCCTACTTGCTCTCAACCAATCTGCACCTTCACAAGTCACTCCCCTGCATTTCTTGACCTTCACCTTTACCAAATTGGGGCATCCACCTGCAAGTGCTTCCATGCCGTGATCCGACACAGGACAGCCCTTGATACAGAGCTTCTTCAATGCGGTGCATTTTGCAGCAATGCAAGAAATCTCTGCATCGCCTACAGTCTCACTTCCACACAATGCCAACCGCTCTAGATTTTGGCAATTCGCAGCCAATAATTCTAAACTTAATCTCGTAGGATTAACACCGATCAGAACCAGCTCTTGAAGATTAGGGCAGTGTTTGGCAATAGCTATTAGACCATCATCGCCTATCCGATTCGTCTTCCATCCATCAATGTGAAGCTTCCGTAAAAGCTTGCAGTTTTCTGCGACCGATTTAAGCCCTATGTTTGTGCATTCAGGCGTCTTCACAAGGTGCAGGATTTCAAGATTCAAACAATTCGATATCGCCGCGAGACCAACATCGCTAACCTGAAGCCTCTCGAGATGAATTTCAACCATACCTGTGACTCGATCGGCGATCACCTCAAGAAGCTTATCCCAATCGCCAGAGCACCTGAAAAGCTTGAGCGCTCTCAAATTCTTCGATCCGATAATAAGGGAACCGAAACACTGGCCATTGTAAAGCTCCTTCAAGCATATTGTTTTGAGAGACGCGACACCAGGCCCGATTGGCTCCGTCACTGCTCCATCGGTGATGCCACGGAGTCGCTTCACCGATAATTCCTCGAGCAACGAGCAATTATCGAGCACGGCGTTCATACCTTTGGCCCCAAACGTGCAAGATCCACACGATAGCTTCTTCAAACCCTTGCAATTCTTAGCGAAAACCGCCATACCTGCATCGGTCAATTCGCGGCAACCACGGAGCTTGAGACGAGTCAGATTTCGGCACCGGAGCAACATTTCCTTCTTTCTATTTTTGATGCTAGCAGATCTGCGATCGCATTTCAGAGCGAGTTTGGTCACCGAATCGAATCGAGAGAAGAGAGCTGGAATCATCGAGAGCAGATCGGACTGGGCGTTGAGAGAGAGACGGTGGCGGCTCTGTCCCTCCACCCCAAGCCACCGGCGGCAGACGAGAGAGCACCGTTTCCGATCGCCGGAACCCAGGGACATGAAAATGGAAGCCAAGCACTCGTCAGGAAGGTTCGAGATGTAGTCGGAGAAGACGTCGTCGTCGATGATGACATCGTGAATCTGCGATTCGTTCTCTCTGGCGTGCATCGGAGAGATTGAGACCGTCGATGTGTGCCTGGACCGATGGCTGTGATCTGTTTCGCGGCGGCGAGGGACGGCGGCGGTGGAGGCTGTCTGGCCCATCCACGGCGGCGGTTTGCAACCGAGTTGCGGGGAAATCTCACCGTTTGTTTATCCGACGGTGGAGATTGAAGCTACTGTTTTCTCTCGGGTTCCCTGTTATGTTCTTCCCTTATCATTGAAAAGTCAGGGACGGACTTGAAATGTATTTAATTCGGCCTTTTTTTTTTTGTCAGCTTTCAAGAATTTTCCCCTGCTATTTATGTACCCACCTTTCTTTCTAATTGCACTTCAAATTTTGGCATAGGTTGGATAGTTGGCTATTTTAATAATTTATTTTAGTTTTTGATTATTTTAGTAAATTAAAATTTTTATATTTAAAAATATTAATAAATTTTTTTGTAATTGGATGTGATATTTATAAAAGAAAAAGTAAAATAATTATGAATTTGATGTGATATTTTATCTTATTAACTATTTTAACATATTTTGTCTTTTTAACTTTTACCAAACATTTTACTTTGGGTCCAGTTTGTCTCAAGTTGAGATCAAGACTGGACCCATCCAGTTCGGCCCATGGGGGCCATGTTTTGGGCCCGTTTTGATGATTTGAACCGTTCAATGTGTAGAACTCGTCGAGTACTATATGGCTGTAAAAAATCACGTTGATCGGATATCAATAACTATCTGATCAAATCAGTTTTGTATTAAAAAAATGGATGGTAAAAAAATTAACGATTGATAAAAAACTATTTTGTTCACATAGCTATCGATATTCGATTAACGTGATTTTTTTGAGGCATATAGTACTCGACGAGTTCTATACATTGAACGGTTCGGATTATCAAAACGGGATCCGTGGTGGGCCCTCACGGGCCCAACAGCACGGTCCAGTCCGATCCTGGACTGGACCAAAGCCACTGCCTTTTTACTTTTTACAAAAAAAATTAAAATGTATTAGGATTGTTCGCTGTTCGATTGCTGTTGAAGAATCTCTAATTCGCCATCCATCCGTCAGGTTGACGGATTGAAAAAAATCAATCTGTATCCGTTTGTCGGATTGAGCGAATTGAAGGATTAACGGATGGATGCGAATCGTTTTGGCGGTTTAAATTTTTACAAATTTTGAATATAATATAACTTGTCAAAAAAAAAATATGCATTATCAAAACTATTTTATTACTTTTTTTATTCAAAAACTAATTTCATTTTTTAAAAATTAAACCTTATATTTTTCACACAAAAATACCAAATATCAACATTTGTCATTTGATAAAAAGATTTTCAAATTAAAAACACGACAGAATATCTAAACTTTTTTTTCAATTAAAAACACAAACAGAATATCTAAACAAATTGAAAACACAAAGTCTTACAAAGTAGTACTCGCGGTTTGGCGGTTCAGTTACGGTCAAAGGAACCTCAAATCCGCCATCAGTCCAAAACTAAGCGGATTGAAAAAAATCAATCTACAATCGTTCGCTCGTCATCACGCATTCATCCAAAATGTGATAAATCGATTTGGTTCAGTCTAATTAGACGGATCAAAATATCCGCTACTCACCTCTAAAATATACACATTAGATTACTTTATGAAGGTGATAATAAAAATTGGAAAAGTGCAAATATAAAAATTTTGAGTGCTAATAACATTTCCTTCTTTCTATTTTTGGGATAAAGATATGGTTAACATGATAATAATCCCTATGTTTGGTTTCAGAAGAATAACATTTTTTATTTTTTATTATTTTTTATGTGAGTTTAGTGAATTTTTTTACTTTTTAAATATACTTAATCTAAATATACTTAAAAAAATATAATATTTGTGAAAACAATTTGCCAAATAAAAAAATATATATATGAATATTCAATACATTTTCATATTTTGTTGTATTCAATGAATATTTAAAGATTTTTGTATAAATTTTTTACTTTTTAAGTATATTAAGATTAAATGAATCTAAAAATTTGAGAAAAAAAATTTGGTTAAAATATTTTTTAAAAATCATCAAAAATATAGAAATACAAATTCAAAATTTTATTTTTAAAAACTAAAAATCAAACAGGAATAATCCTATTTTGTTTTGCTATCAGTTTTATTAATCTATTTTCACTCGTGTAAAGAGTTATTTACTATTAAAAACATGAAAATGCCTTTCTAAAAGTTTTTTTTTATTATAAAAACTAAGGTCTCGTTTGGGGGCAACATATTTTAGTTAAAAAGTTAAAAGGTAAGTTGTCACGTTACTTTTTCCATTTTTTGGATATTTTTTCATAAAAAGTTAAAAATTATTAAAATAACATGTTTACAAACGAGGCCTAAGTAAAAATTTAAGCAAAAATATGAAGGATTTGGAATCATTTAAGAAATTTACAAAAATGCATGGAAAGAATTATTTTAGTGTAAAAAACATGAGAATGCACTTTATAAAGACTTTTCCTTTCTACTTACTTGGCCATTAAAATCTCTTTGGGAGTATTAAAATTTTAGTCAAAAAGTTAAAAAAATTAATATAACTTGTTACATCATTTTTATTTTATATATATATATATATATATATATTTTGTAAAAACGTAAAAGCCAATTAAAATACTCAATTCTCAAACAAAACTTTAGAGTAACAAGCTAAATATGTTACTTATTAACCTGTTGACTTATTTTTGTCAGATCACCTCTCTACTAATATTTCTTTTTTTTAGTAAGTACAAAAATTAAAAAATAAACCACATCCAAAGCACCCCTTAAATAAAAGAAAACAAAAACATATCTGTACGGGGAGCTAATATTCGACGCCGCCCGTATTCCTTGTGTCCAAGCTGCGCCTTCCTCCGATTGACCTGGGAACACAATGAAGATAAGCTACTCGGCGGTGCGTCGCCGGAAAACCCTTTCGACGGTCAAGTCAGCACGCACTCAGAAAGAAAGAAGAAAGAGAGATCATGTGTTCGTGTTTCTCTCACCAGATGGTGTTCCATCCCCAGCATAGGGGGCGCAGTCACGTTTATATACTTTCTGCGCGTACCTCTGCGACCATTCGCCTTTTGACGCGTGGACCTGCTCTCCTATCCCACTTTCCCACGTGTCAGTGCAAATACAGCTAAACACCACCCAATCAAACTACCAAACGGCGTTGGCGCGAACGGACAGCCCGGCGGCGCTACCCCAGCTTCCTACGACCGTATTACTTTCTGAAACATACAGTGCTCCTAGCCAGGCTCCGTTATGACCGAGCTTAGTAGCCCTCCGTTATGACCGAGCTCTTGCTCGGTTGGGTTAGTCTGCGGAGGATCTTGCTCGCCGATCTAAACAAGCAAACAATATGAACCGGGTAGGCAGAGAATCATCCCGGCCAAATCGGGCCTGGACTTTAACCGAGCAAACTCCCCTTGGATCGGCCCAGCCTAGCTTAGCTCGGCCCAAACACACTCGGATCCATTTTAGCCCGGCCATTACCACAGCCCAAAGTCAGATTATGAAATCTCTCTCTCAATATCAAAACTCACAAGAAATAGCCTTATTAGCTTGTAATTATTATCTTTATTGCAAGTAGATCCCATCTTATTGACGAGTGTATTATTAATATATTTTAGGTGATTTAATGAAGAAAAATGTTATGAACACCTACAAATTGATAGAAGAAATTGTGAAAAATAAATATTGAGCACCAATCAAAGTAAATTAAATGGCTTTTGTTCCCCGACATAATTTTTGAACTAGTAAATCATGCATTTAACTATACTTTCCAAAGAAAGGCCAAGATTGTTAAAACTTTATTTATGAAGTAAAGTGGAGATTCATATCCTTTGTAAATGCCATTTTCTATTAAGCAATGGATCAACCAGATTTTCTTGTCATCAACTTTGAACTCGACTTGTTGGTCATCAACTCCAGCAAAAAAAAAAAAAAAGTTATAAAATAATAAAAAAATACTCTCTCTCTTTTTTTTTTTTTTTTTTTTTTTCAACTCTCCACCTCTCTCTTCGGCCTTATGTAAGTAATTATTTTTTGGAGTTTCTAATTTTTAGAGTTCATACTCCCATTTGTAATTAAATAGCTATTTTGAAAAGATGGTTAAAAATCATCTTTTAGCTTTTAATATATTTTGGGTCACATCATCTCTCACATTTTTTAAAAAAAAAAAAATTAAAAAAACACCAACCATGTTCCCAAAACAACCCAAAAGAATCATGGATTTTGTTTGATCTGTGAGATTTTTTTTTTTTTTAGTTGTTTGTTGAAAGTTGATAAAGGAATGGAAGCCGTTATGGAGTCACAAAATAGCGATAGTAAACCCATCAATTGCATCATCATAAGCGAACTCTTAATATAAGATCTATCATATATTTAAAAAAAAAAATTGTGATCAAATGATTATGTATTTAAATAAAATAATGAAAATAATTTAAGTTGAAGTACTAAATAAATAAAATAAATAATTACCCACCCAAAAAAAAGAAGTACTAAATAAAAAGTGAATAAATTGTACATTTAAACATCACCCTTCTTGTATTTTTAACAAAATTTCTAATCAAACTTGCATAATTCAATTTATTAGCTAAATCATTTTCAATTGATTAAATTACTAATACATTTAATCTTTCATGTGACATAGTTGACGAAAAATAGAATTTAATTAATTTTAAATTTGAAAAGTTTCTTTTCTTAAAAACAACTGTAATTGGTATAATTAATAATTAATCGTGTTTCATACGCAATCCATACATTTGAGAAATATCCATCTATTAATTTAAAATAATTTATCATATCAATCGACTTTTTTTTAATGCCTATGAACTTTTGAATGTAAAATAAGATCAAACGATTACTTGTGTTCTCTCATAATGAAGTGCAACTTGTACGTTGTTGGTGCTTGATTCATTTTTCGTTACCAACTATTGTTTGTGTATTATTTATTAGGGTGATTGTGTATAGTTGATGGTCGTTAATAGTTATTGATTATTGTGTTGTTGAAGGTAGTTGATGCTTGTGTTGCAGATGGTGACACAGATGGGTGTTGTTGGAGAGCCCCTTTTTATGTATTTTGTATTTATTGTTACTTTTCAAATATGTCATGTACATGTGTGGAGTTTTGTATTCTGCGTTTTTCCTATTGAACAGTGTAGATAATGTGCCTGTTTGGTGAAACTTAATTTCAGCTTATTTTAACTTATGACTTAATTTAAGTCACTCTGATCTGTTTGGCACAGCTTAAAGCCTCAAATTATAACTTAAAAAAAGTCATTTTAAGCCAATTTTTCGAAGTTTTGCTCCGGAGGTGCTTCTAATTTCCGCTTAAGCGCACAGCTGTTTGGAGGGGCATGAAATGACTTAAATGTCCCTCCAAAACATCAACAATTACGGTTATGCCACTATATAACCCTCTTTTGTCGTGCCCTAGCCCACTCCTCTCCTCACACTCGTCTTCTCATGTCCTTGGCGACGAAAGACATCCTCCATATCTCTCCAAGATCAGCCGATCGAAGTCGAAGATTTCTCCAAGATCTGCACTACAAAAGGTAAGAGTTCATGCCTTTTGTTTGTGATATATATATATATATATACACACACACATACACATTTGAGCTAGGGTTTACAGACAGATCACACTCTCTCTTCTTCCTTCGATTCACCCTTTGGTTTCGAGTTGAAGACGGCCTCTCTGTCTGAATTTTCCTCTTCCATCTTGCCCTTGGCTTTGCCTTCTCCCTTATCTGTCATCTCTCTCTCTCGAAGAAATGTATGCTCTGTTTACTTTATCTGAAGATATATGACTGATTTGTGTGGAACTTCTTCTTATTTCCCCCCCTTCTTTTCTCTGTGTCTGTATGTGAAGTGTGAACTGAAGTTCAAGAATGTTATTTATATATTGATTTTATTTTTCTGTCATTCAGTTTATTTTCGTAAATAACATCTTAATGTGAATTGAACTTTTATTTACTCTGAAATTAACATTAATTTTCGTAAATTAATGTTATTTTTCTCTGAAATTATTCTCTGTTGTTCCAATTTAAATAACAAATTTGTGTTATCTTCTTTTGATACAGTGTTTGGCTTTTGATACAATTTTTTTCTGTCATTGATTGGCTTTTGATAAATTAGTGTTTGATGAAGATAACTGATAATTTTTATCTTCATCAGTTAAATTAGTTTGTGAAGTTTTAGAAAATGCCCAGACATGGGATAGAATATCAAGAGCTCTTTGGTTTATTTTGGTCATGTAATTCAATTTGGATCTATAATTCCCATATGTCATTTTACCATTCTCTTATTTAGGCTTTATCTGTCATAGTTTGAAATATCATCCTGAGTTTAATAAGTCCAGTTTTTCCTTTTTGTTTAAATAGGCTCTGCATTTCGTTTGAATTATGCATATGTATCTATTTGAATTTTTCATAGTTGCTTATTTTTCCCTTAACCATAGACCTCTTTATGCTTTACGAATGAATATTATAATTTCCCTAATGTAGAAAGAGGAATGAATTTTCTATTCTAGGGGGACCATGTGCTGAATTCCATTGCATAAGAGAATGAGGGAGGAAAGGAAAATGTTTTATTTTAATGTGTTTGCTGAACCATTAACAGTTTCAAATTGTGCTGAATCCAAAGTGTCCAAAGTGTGGTTGAACCAAAAACAGTTTCAAATTGTCTTTTTTTTTTTTTTTTTTTTTTTGCAAGGCCAAAGTGTTCAAATATTTTCATTGTATCAATAAGGGTTACTCAATCCAATGCATGAAAACTCTTTCTGTTTACATAGTTGGTCATGGACAATAGTGTTAGTCATGTATAACATCTTTAAGTTCCCAATCAATTTTAGAGGATGTGGATTCAATTCTTCGTAATTACTGCAGAGGCATGTCATCCTCTAGTAACTATGCTTCCAGTGCAGAGACCTTGGATTTGAGGTACGAGGCTGTGAAATGTGAGCGTGGTGTAAGAGCTGCCATAAGGGTAACCGAATCTGAGAAGCCATCAAAAGGAAGACTGTATGTAAATTGTGAGAAGAGAAAATGTCAATTTTGGAGGTGGTGTACCCCAAAATTTGTGACGATGGTAGAGAGGCAGAGGAACGAGACAAATCTTGATCAAAATCAAAACATCGAGACCGTAGGACTAAAAGTGAAGAACCAAATGCTTGAGCAATCCGTAACATTTATGAAGCAGCTTGTTGTGGGTTTGCTCACAATTTTGTATTGTTCTGTCAGTTGCATTACTCTTCAAATGATTGTAGGTGGCTTTTAGATCATGTGTTTTTTTGCTAAGTTATGTACCTAATGATGAGACGTCTATTGTAGTAATCTTATGTTTTATACTAATCATGCCATGTATGGTTATTTTGTACTAATCTTATGTTTTAATGCAACCAATGATTAATATGTGTTAAACAATTTTTTTTTCTTTCATAGAATGAGTACCCAAGAGGAAACACAATCTGAAAATAGGAAGAATAAGGCAAAATCCTCTCAAGTACCATCTGTTAAGGCTCATTGGGATGCAAAATCAAATGAAATCTTTATTAAGCTTTGTGTTGAGCAAGTGAAGGTCGGACACAGACCTGGAACACACTTAGATAGGGTCGGGTGGGAAAATGTCATAACTACGTTTAAAACTATGACTGGAAAAGCATACCAACGAATACAAATGAAAAACCATTGGGATGTGTTGAAAAAAGATTGGCTTTTGTGGAACAATTTGTTAAGGGGTGAGACAGGCTTAGGTCGTGATACATTGGCTGGAGCTATATCTGCATCTGATGAGTGGTGGACCAAGAAATTGGAGGTATTTAAATTGCTTAATGTACATATTATGTTTGTTTTTGTTGTTTAAACACACCAAATTTTGATACTTGTAAATGTTAAATTTTTTCTTTGTAATTGTTGCAGAGGTATCCTAATGCTGCTAAATTCCGGCGTATGCCATTGCAATTTAGTGAAGCCTTAGACATACTATTCTTAGATGCAGCTATTACAGGAGAATGAGCATACACTCCTAGTTCAGGGGTTATGCCTGACACTGATGACAATGTGGAGGAATTTCATACCCCACATGATGCTGAATATGATGATGATGATTTGGAGGTGGTTCATCCCTCTGAGTTAAACAAAAAGCGTTCATCAAACACTGGTGGTTCATCAACCAAGAGCAAGACAAAGAAGAAATTTACTGGTGCAACTCTAATTAAGAAGACACTTGATCGTATAGTCAATGTGGTTGAGTCATCTTCAGCAATTTCAAAACAGACCTCATCAAGATATCCTTCAATTGCAGAATGTTTGGTGAAGTTGGAAAACATCCCTGGTGTGTCCCCGGATGATGAGATGTATGTATGGGCCGCCTGATTGTTCTTACGAGACAAGCGTCGTGAGTGTTTCATGACTCTTCCTACGGATAAAGTTCGGCTTAGGTTTATAAAGTTGGAGATTGAGATGGAGAAGACCACCATAGGTTATCGCGGCTAATTGTGGATTGCCCGGTTGTTCTTAAGACTTTTATTATGAATTGTGGACTGTTCTGTTCGAATTTTTATTTTAGTAATTGTGGACTGTTGCAATATTTTCCTAATTTTTCCTTTTATTAATATTGACTATGTGCCTGTTTGGCAGAGCTTAATTACAGCTTATTTCAGCTTTCAACTTAATTTAAGCTATTTTGATGTGTTTAGTTTAGCTTATAGCTTATAGATTATAGGTTTTTGGAAGTCAGAAATCAGCTTATTCTTTGAGTGGGGCAGGAGATGCTTTAAGAATAAGCTGGAAATCAGCTTAAGCTGAAAGTTATAAGGTATAAGCTGTTGAGGCATAAGCTATAAGCACTTTCCCACAGCTCTACCAAACAAGGCCTATATGTTGGACTTTTAATTGTGGACTCATTATTTCGAATTTTATTAATATTATGTTGGACTTTGTTAGTTAAATGGTTGAATGGTTGGTGGGTAGGTGACATTTTTTTAGTTGAATGGTAGGTGAATGGTTGACTTGTTGAATGTTAGTTAAATATGAATAGTAGGTGAATAGTGAAGATTATATATATGTATATGTAGGTGAATGGTTTACTCAATTCATTTTTGTGCTGTATATTTTTTTCCTTTACATTTGAATCTCTCCAGGTATACCTTTGTTGAAGTTTAAGGTATAATTTTATTGCTTTACATTTTAATCTTTCACCTATTTCATTTTTTTATTTACATATTTCTTTATATGAATGATGATTTTCTTTAATTGGGATAAATGAATGACAGGTTGCCTTATATTTTAGTAGATAGGAACACATCTTCAATACTTCATTCGTGAGCTAGAATTGGATATGTATATTACAGTGCTGCGTGCTTGAATTGCATTTGTGCTATGCTTGAATTTCATGAATAGATATTGAATATGTTTGCCATGCCCAAGGATTGCAAATGGCTGGTGCATATGACCCACCGAACTCATGAGTGAAACAAAGAGCTACTCAATGAAATTTGGATTTTTTTAGAAAATATATATTCATTTTCCTAACGTACTGGATAGTTTACAATCTAGATCTTTAGTGTTTAAAATAGTTTACAATCTGGATAGTTTAAAATAGAAACAAGGTTGTTCTTAATAGAAACACTATCAAATAACTTTACTTTTATCCCTTAGTTACTTTTATTTGTTCACATTGTTTTCAATCTTGCTGTGAATATATAGTGGGTTTGATTTAATAATTTAAATTGCCAATTCTAAATTTATATTAACTCTTTTATGTCACCCTATTTTTTTTTTAATTGAATGGTAACTGAACCTTTTAAATGAGTAGGTATTTTAAAGATGAGTAACAGTGATGAAGACCAATGGAATGATGACCATGACGATGAAGATACTGACGATGAAGGCAGCACATCGCAAACCCAACAAAATAATAATATGCTCTTAGCTACAGCGGCTACAGTTGCAGCGACATATGCAACAAATTATTTGATAAAAGAACCATGTAGGACATCTTGTTTAACAGGAGGGATGTGGATGGTAGAATTACAAGAAGGGAATCGGACAAGAATATTTGAAAATTTTCGAATGGAAAGAGAGGTATTTTATCAATTGTGTAATTTGTTACAGACAAATTATGGCCTTCAAATTGGACAACAAGTCTCGGTTCAAGAGCAAGTTGTAATATTTTTGTTTATTGTTGGCGGTGACATTCGAAACAGAAATGTGCAAGAAAGATTTCAACATTCCGGCGAGACTATTTCAAAATATTTCAAGAAGGTGTTAAAGGCTGTTACAATGATGTCCATTGATTGGGTAAGGCCTCAACCGACTAATGGTGTGCATCCATATATCCGACGCAACCGCAAATATTATCCTCATTTCAAGGTAAATAATTAACTACAAGTGCAACTTGGGTGTTACATATAATTAATGTTGGTAGGATATTTCTACTAATCTATGGCTACATTTTTTTTTTTTTTCATTATTATGTAATAGGATTGTATTTGAGTAATTGACGGAACACACATCAAAGCATATATATCTCCAGATAAGCAAGCTCGTCTAATAGGTAGAAAGGGATATGCGACTCAAAACATAATGGCCGCATGTGACTTTGATATGTGTTTCACATTTTGCTTACCATGATGGGAAGGAAGTGCACACGATACTCAGATCTTCTTAGATGCAATTAGGAATCTTAGTTTTAATTTTCCAAAACCACAAGGAGGTAACTGTTTTATATTTGATTGCTACAATAGATGCACCACACATTAATCTTCATATTTATTTTTACATTTATAATTTCTTACTTAAATTTCATTTTGGAATTTTAAAATAGATGAGTTTTACTTGGTGGATGCTGGTTATCCAAACATGAAAGGATATCTTGCACCTTACAAAGGAGAGAGTTACCATCTAGCTCAATTTGAACATGGTCAACCCCCCCAAAATGCACAAGAAAAATTCAACCAAGCACATTCATCACTTAGAAGTGTAATATAAAGAACGTTCGGGGTTTGGAAAGCAAGATGGCCGATGATAAAGGATATCCCACCAAACTACAAGTGGTCGACCCAAGTCAAACTTGTTTGTGCAACAATGGCAATTCATAATTTCATCCGACGAAGTAAGCTCCGCGATATTGCATTTGACTCTTATGATAGATTCACGGATTATGTGCCTAATGAAGATGAAGGATCTTCGTCTCAACAAGCACGCCATGGAAATGATGTTGCATGTGATGACAACGAGATAAAAGTGAGGAGACATAATATTTGTATGTCAATTTGCAGACGAAATTAGGAGCTCTATAAATATCTATGAAGTTTTATTTTTCTTGCCTTAATAGTAATTTATTGTATTTTTATTGCAATGACATTTTTTGTTTTCTTGTCAACTCAATATTATTACAAAAAAATTAAATAAAAAAATAAATAAAAATTTGACGTAATGAAATGTACCAAATTAGGTACTAATTAATCAACTTCCATTAATGAAATAACTTTTTCAAAATTTAAAGAGAAGAAAATGACAAAAATTACAAATTTCCTGTTCATAAGGGCAAAAATGACAATTACATAGCCAAAAGCTGTTTTACAGCTTATTTATCAAGCACTACTCTGCTGCTTAAATCTATAATCCCACAGCTACACCAAACAGGTTAGCAGCTTATATTCATAGCTATAAGCTATAATCTGTTAAGCTATAATTTATAATCACTTTCCTACAGCTCTACCAAACAGGGCCAATATACACTTGCAAATCGGATTTTGAGAAAAATATTTTTGTTCATTTTAATTCAATACATTGTACAATTACTTATTTATAGAGATGAATCATCAATAAGTAGTAAGTCCTATAATTGAGCTATTCCTATAATTAAAGCTACAATCCAGTTATTTCCTAATCTACAAATAGGAAACAATCACAAGAGATAATTCCTAAAATCTCTACACTCCTCCTCAAGTTGGTGCATAGATGTCACACATGCCCAACTTGCCCAAAAACTTTGAGAACGCTCGACTAGACACTGCTTTAGTAAGGATATCGGCCAACTGATCTTCTGAGCGAATCTTAGGTAACTCCACAATTTTCTCATCTAGTTTCTCCTTAATGAAGAATATGTCTACTTCCACATGCTTTGTACGATCATGTTGAACCGGATTATGAGCAATATCACATGCCGCTTTATTGTCACAGTAGAGGTAAATTGGTTGCGTAGGCAAATAGCCCAAATCCCCCAAGAGAAGTTTTAGCCATAATGCTTCACATATTCCAAGTGCCATACCTCTAAATTCAGCCTTTGCACTTGAACGTGCAATAACATTTTGTTTCTTGCTTCTCCATGTAATGAGATTACCACTTACAAAGGTAAAATATCTTGAAGTAGATCGTTTGTCATCTACTGCTCCAGCCCAGTCAGCATCAGTATATGCATCCATACTTTGACAATCTACATTTTTTGTAAATAAAATTCCTTTTCCAGGAGCAGACTTCAGATACCTCAAAATGTGCATAACTGCATTCATATGTTGCTCACCAAGATTATGCATAAACTGGATGACAATGCTCAAAGCATAGGCAAGGTTTGGCCATGTGTGGGCTAAGTACATCAATTTTCCGACGAGTCTTTGATATCTCCCCTTATCAACAAGCACCTGATTAGTTTCAATACATGACTTTAATCCTTCTTCTACTGGTGTATTAGCTGGTTGACATGCTGGCATACCAGTTTCTTGTAACAAATCTAAGGCATATTTTCTTTGAGACGAAAAAATTCCTTTATCAGATCGAGACACTTCGATTCCAACAAAATATTTCAAGTGACCGAGATCTTTCATTTCTTATTCTTTGGACAAATAACTCTGTAGAGCCTTTTTTTCTTTAGGATCATTTCCTTTGACCACCATGTTGTCAACATACACAATAAGGGCAGTGATCTTACCATGCTGTTTTTTCAAGAATAAAGTATGGTTCGAATTACTTTGATGGTAGCCAAAGGCTCTCATAGACTTTGTGAACCTTCCAAACCATGCTCTAGAAGATTGTTTCAACCCATAAAAAGCTTTCTTTAATCTATACACCTTTTGAAAATGCACTTCTGGTATCATGCATCCTGGTGGCAAATCTATGTAGACTTCTTCAGACAACTCGCCATGCAGAAATGCATTCTTCACATCAAATTGTTGTAATGGCCAATCCAAGTTTGTAGCTAGAGACAACAAGACACAAACTGTGTTGATTTTAGCTACAGGTGCAAATGTATCTGTATAATCAATCCCATAAGTTTGGGTGTACCATTTTGCCACAAGTCTTGCTTTAAAGCGTTCAATCGTACTGTCTGCTTTGTGTTTCACAGTATACACCCACCGACATCCAATTGTTTTCTTCCCTGGTGGATGATCAATAAGTTCCCAAGTTTTATTTTTCTGCAAGGATTTCATCTCCTCATTCATAACAGTTTTCCACCTTGGGTCGGCTAAGGCTTCATGCACATTGTTAGGAATAGATACTACAGATAATTGATTTGCAAATGACTTATTTGATTCTAATAAACGATGGTTAGACACATAATGACTCATGGGATATTTAACTTTACTAGAAAGTTCAGGTTCATATGTAGTTTTAGAGATACCTTTGGTTTGACGCGATGATAGCTGTTTTTTGGATGGTTCAGGAACATCCTTAGCAAGCGATTGGCTTGGTGTATCAGCAGCCTGTGGTGTGAGGGATTCAGACAGAGATGGAGCTACAATTTTATTTTTTGGGTGTTCATCATTGTCTGGGTGTTCATTACCACTTTGGTCTAAAGGTATACTATGCAAATTTAATTCACCCGTATTGTTTTCAACCGATTCAAAGAGTTCCTCATTAATCACATCCTGATTACCAAGTTCAGAGAGTTCCCCTTTGGTAGAGATCAAAAAATTATAATCATAGTGTAGAGCTTGAACTTTTTCTTGGTACTCCCCTTGAAGTTCAGGCTCAAAGGAAAAATACATAGAGTCTTCATGAAAAATGACATCCAATGTAGCAAACATGTGTTTGGTGGGAGGGTGATAGCAGCGGTACCCTTTTTGAGAAGCAGCATATCCTAGAAAGACACAGTACAATGCTCGAGAAGTCAACTTGGTGCGCCGATGCCTATGAAGGTGTACAAATTCTACATAACCAAACACATGGAGAGGTAAGTTGGGGGTGACGGGAGCAACAATTGCTTTAGCGAGAGCCTAAGATGGTGTCCAAAAATCAATGGTGCTGGAAGGTACTCGGTTGATCAAATAAGCTGCAGAGGTAAGTGCGTGTCCCTAATAAGAAATCGACATATGGGCTTCTATCAACGAAGCACGAACAACCTCTAACAAGTGCCGATTTTTTCGCTCTGCGACCCATATTATGCTGGGGTGTATCAGAACAAGTAGTTTGATGAATAGTTCCATGGATTTCCAAATACTGCTTCAATTCAAGACTCGAATATTCACCTCCACTATCACTGCGAAAAACTGGAATTTGTGCATTGTACTGACTGTGAACAATTTTATGAAAATTTTGAAATAACAAGTTTACTTCACTTTTGGACTTCATCAAACATACCCAAGTCATCCTAGTGTAATCATCAATAAAAGTAACAAACCAGCCTGATTCATCCAAGTTAGTAACTTTAGATGGACCCCAAACATCAGAATGTATGATCATAAAAGGAACTGGGCTTTTATTCAAAATTAATGGAAACGAAGCACGATGGCTCTGTACAAGTTCACAAACATCACATTTGAAACTAGAAATATCAATTTTTGCATATAAATTAGGAAATAATTTCTTCAGGTGACCAAATGAAGCATGCCCTAGATGTCCATGCCATAACCATATCTCAGATTTCTTCTTTTCACTCGCAGAACCGCCTATCATTAAAGCAAGACACAACCAGTTTGAACTCTTTGACACCAAGTCTAAGTAATACAACTTCCTTCGCCTAACACCACAACCAATAGTTTGCCTTGTTTGCATGTCTTTAAACACATAAAAATTGGGCCAGAAAATGACAACACAAAATAAGGTAGTGCTTATTTGGGAAACTGATAAGAGATTATAATCTAAAGATGGAACAATCAAAACAAAATCTAAATTCAAAGTGTCAGTGAAGGACAAGGATCTTTCTCTAATAATCGGAATTAAGGTACTATTAGCAGTGGAAACAAAATTTTGTACAGAAGGTTTAAGAGGAAAGACTTGTTTAGAATCAAATGTCATATGATCCGTAGCACCGGAATCAATTATCCATGCACTATTAGAAATAGGTGCAAAAATATTTAAAACCTTACCATCATTACCTGCCGCTGTTGCTAATGCCGAGAATGCTTCAGCAATATCATTCTCTGTCTTTGTTTCAACAACCGCAATAGTAGAGGTCTTCTTAGAATTTCTTTTCCATGAATCACGGCTATGATCCCACCATTCTGAATACCCCACAAGTTCGTAGCATCGATTTTTGGTATGACCACTTTGATTGCAGTGAGTGCATTTGTAGGAAGATTTATCGACACCAGTAGCAAGTCTTAGGAGGGACAGGCTTCAGTCGGTCCTACTAGTGTTGAGGAGGCCAATTATGATTAGAATGGTTTCGAGTCACCATGGCGGAAGCTTCAGAATTTCCAAGTTCAACATTCATTGTTTCGCGTTGAACACATTTACGGTAGACTAGTGTATAACATTTCTCTAATGCGGGAATTGGATCCTTCCTCAAAATTTCACCACGGATTTGTTCGAATTCACTATCTAATCCAGCAAGAAAAATATGTATCCTTGGTCATTGAACTGATTATATGTAACAACCCTCATGCTGCTTACCGACTAATGACTGATTAACCGCTAATTACTGTTAACCGAGACTGATTATGACTGATAATCGAACTGAATAAACTACGGAACTGACTGACTGAAAACTGGAACTAAATTGACTGAGTATGTACGTTTGAATTGCATTTTATCTGTTGACTGTATGTTTGATCTGTTCATGACTTGTGTTTAAACTGCTCATTGAAGGCCTTATCGGCGGCCGAATTAGAAACCGATTGGTGTTTTATGATCGTCGTAATTAATGTGACTTTATAGTGTTTTTATTCGAAAACTGATTAGGTATGATTAAATTAGATTAAATATTGATAAAATACAGAGTTGGCCTTAATTACAACCTTGCCCTTGAGTGGGCCACTACCTATACACTTTTGAGTTCATTACACTTGAGCCAAAAACGTTTACCTCAGCCTTCTTCCTTGCCTTGCCGACTAGAGAGAGACTAGAGGAGAGAATTGAGTTCATTTTGTTGAATTGGCTTGA